ACTCTCCGGACCCGAATTACGCCGAAGGGGATAAAGTTTACCTCCAGGGGACGAATTTGACCAGCGATCGACCCTCAAAAAAACTGGATGACAAGAGGTTCGGGCCATTCGAAGTTAAGCGCAAAGTGGGTAAAACATCCTATGAACTGGTGCTACCCCCAACTTGGCGCGTAAGCCCCGTATTCCACACGGCGCTATTACGACCCTGGAACCCCCCCGTAGCGGATCATCAACGGGCCGCCCCACCACCCCCGGCAGAAATGCGGGACGGCGAGCCTCACTACGAAGTCGAGGCCATCTCGCTCGTACGAAAGCAAGGACGACACCGCCTAAGATACCTAATTCAGTGGAAAGGCTACCCTCGGGAAGAGTGGACGTGGGAATTGCGGGACAAACTGGAGGGCGCAGAAGAGGCACTCGAGGACTTCTATACTCTCAACCCGTTCGCGCCCCGCGAAGAACTCGTAAACGGCCGATGGAAAATCCGAAAGCAAGACCAGGGGACGCGGACCCATAGGGCGTCGAGGCGCCGCCCACAACGGAGGGGGTGATGTCACGGTTCGGGTCGGGCCGTCCGGGCCGTAAGGCCGCACGGGCCCGAACGGGCCCGCACGGGCCCGTATACCGCCGTCCTCCTGGACGCCCCCTCATTCTTCCAACCCCTTCCGTTCACCCCTACGACCCTGCGCAGCGCCCATCCGATCCGCCCTGGGGCCTAGCGCCCATCCGATCCATCCCTAATACCGTAGCGTATAAAAGTCGTACTTACAAGATGTAGTCGCTAGGCTAATATCGTCTATTCTCCGGGCGAATACCCATCTCTCGTGCTCCTCAGACCTCTCCGAAGTCGGACCCCCCGACGCCCCGATACGGCCCGAGCCCGACGCTGACACTAAGGAAGTTGTTTTCATTGTTTTGAAAGTTATTCTCCATTGAAACATGTTGAGACTGTTAAATCAAGGTTGTATTCAAAAAGGGGCAGAAAAAACAAGTTGAAAATTGTAAAATACTTATAATACAGTATACCGCCCATAGTCTTTAGCCTAAGTTATCCCACATGAAAGGTGTCCTGTCTGAATGCCAAGTTGCCTACAGGTGAAAATTCCTTCTAGAAAAAAAATTTGGAGTTATCTCCACAAATTACCCATGTCATTTTCCAGAATATATAGTCTATTAATGTTACAGTATATTGCCCATATCCAATATATATCCCAGAGGAATTGAGGCATCATCAACAACTTGCATGTTTTATTCACGGATAGTCCCACCGACAACTGTGACCTCCGGGGAAGATGCACTCGCCCGCCGCAGCGCGCCTAGAGCACCCGTGCAGTCTGCGCTGTTCGAGCAAGCAGTCTGCCACTGTCAGCCAGCTCTGACATACTCGTGGGCGCGACATGTCGTCGACAGTCGTCATTCGTCCGCGGAGTAGGTTAGGCGGCGCGGGACCGTCGCGGGCTGCCCGTGCTGTCCGAGTGCAGTTCCCTCGCGGATGTATTGCAACAGAAGGTGGTCATGTCAGATTTTGACATGCCGCCAGCGTTGCCGGGTGTTAGGCGATGGGGTGACTTCACAGGCCAAGCGATCAGGACCCCAGTGATAGGAATCAGCCGTGCCCGGCGTCCCGGTCAGCAATGCTTCCAGTCCTCCCGGTGCAGAGGCTCCTGAGCCCGAGATGATAAGCATGCCGGTGCCACAACGCAGTCCCGGTGCATGCCTATGGCCCACCGCCGCACAATCGACGCGGCTCGGGCTCATCATTTGTTGTTCTGTTTGTCCGACATTTTTTCTTGTCGCATCCCAGTCGGTCCGAGTTGGGCAGAATTTTGCATGGGGATAGATCCAGAGGGCAGGTAGCTACTCATCACTGGATTCACTGCTGAAACCCTTCATGCCAGTGCCAGTGTTGAATAATAACTTACTCCAGGCCTGGCCGTTGGCCTGCGGTTCAAGTTGTTCCGGATCTGAGTATCCCTCGAGCAGAATGTGAGCCTAAGAATGAGCTCTGTCAGTACTTCAGATTGGCAATTCCACAGAGAAAACTAAACATATTTCATATGACTACCTAGTCAATACCTAGTACTTACTAGTGCTAGTACTTGCAAGTTATCCTACACGTGCAGGGTCGCGTTTGAGCAAGCCCACGTGCTCATTAGTTCTGTGCCGCTTTCGCTAGCACCGCCAGCACAATGCCAGTGCAGAAGACAAAAGTCATCTTCATTTCATCCCGCACGGCGTCGTCGGCTCTTCCGAATCGATTTGTGCCACGGCCCGCCGCCGACTGGCAGTTACACCCTCGCCACTTACAGCCCCAGACTGCAGTCGCCATTTAAGCGCCGAGTCCTTCGTGGCCTAGTTGTGTTGCCCGTGTCGTTCACAGAGATTGAGTCTGAGCTTGCCGTTGTGCGCGCACGCCAGTTGTTCCCAGCTTTAGCGTGTCGATAAACTTTGATATCCCAAAGCTCGAGCAGCCCGTGTTGCCTGCCTAGCCGTAACGTGTCGAAAGATCCAAGTCCGAGTCATTTCCGTCAGTTTAGGCCGCAACAGCTTCGTTGCAGCAACAGCCTAGGCCATACTGTACTCATATGTATTACTACAACGTAACGCGTAACGCCCAGTCCGTTGTAGCTCTTCAGGGGCGTTATGGTCACGTGACCGTTGTAGTAATACACATGAATACAGTAGACTTGAGAGCAGGTCTTCGTCACTGGTGAAGTGGCGCCAAGACGAGGAACGCGCCGCGATCCGCCCAATTGCGTAGATGGCGGTCCAGATCAGCAGGGTTGTCAAAGAGACAAGTCCGCTGGGAGTGCATTGTACTCGGGAGCTCTCCGGACTCGCGCCACTGCGCGTCAGCGCTCAGCATTTGACGATGTCATCGGATCCGCCGATGCAGTACTCTTGGTTGCAATTGCCAGCGCTGCTGGCGCCAGGTTGTAGCAGATGCAGTGCCAGCTCGGGCTTATGGCCCATGATACTTGCTTCAACTGAAGGTTCGGGGGCTTGCTGGGGTTTGTTGTGATCTGAACAAATAGTCAGCAGGGGTATGAGAAGACGAACAATACTCACCGATAAGTACGGCTCAGTGGCGCATGTGGACAAGCGGGTAGCAGTGCGCGGAGGTCGCCGGGACAAGCTACAGCGGCCCTTGGGCGGCCCACCCGTTACTGTACCCTGTTACTGGCATCCGGGTGGGTATATGACGAGAAGTCGCATGTTAACGCGCCGCGCAGAGTGGAAAGGCTGTCTGCTTGGCAAACTCGCCGTCCAGAAAAAGCCGACAGGATAAGCACCATACCAGTATGTGCCAGCAGCTGCATCATATAGTTGGCCGGAGGAGGCGAGACTTCAGTCAGCGCACCGGAGGCAGAGCGTCCTCGGGCACCTAGACCCGATTCTCGGACAGAAGGCGAGCGATATGACATATGATGAAGCCCGCTGCAGAATGTTGAAACGCAGAGTTCTTGATGAGTGGTTTGGTGTAGACATTACACGGAGCCAAAACGCGAAAGCGCGCTCTGGCCGCCATGGCAGGATGAGGCAGCCGTCGAGCGTAAGGCCTCGTCCAGGTTGTCCTTATCATGTTGGAGTGGAGCGCATAGATCGTGCTATGGCGGGCTTCCGCCGAATGTCGGCCTAGAATGAGGTCAACACGGCAGGGTGGAGAGGAAGAGAAGAGGCGCCACAGTGACGTGGCCGGTCACGTGATAGGCCGGCAAGATAGCCGAGGGTACCAGGGTAGACTGGGGTCCGCGCTTGGCGGTCGGCAGTCCCTGCCGCGTGTCAAAATCTGACATGACCACCTTCTGTTGCAATACGGATGCGGTTGGGCGCGGTTGTTCTTTGTTCGTTCGCCGGCTTCCCCGGGCCCTACAGTATTGCCAATACTACAGCGCTTGCAACGATGGCCGCGGCACACGCGCGTTGTTCTGTTGCTCACACGATGGTCGGCACGGACACATATCGCTGTGGAGCATCAGTGATGGCGTGATTGGGTTTGTTCGCACCGAGTTGCGACGGACACAAGGGCACGGGCAGGCCACGGCGGGGGCTGGGAGCAAAATGGAAGAGAAGGGGGGTGGCCATGGGATGCGATGGGACAAGGGCCCCGGCGACAACAAGGGGACGGATGTAGTGGGAACAAGGGTGCGGAGTGGTTGCGGGAGTGCATGCGCAACAGCCTGCGCGTCTGTTTGGCATGCATACTGGCATCGACACAAGCTCCTGGCGGCTCGGAGATTGTCTTATCGAATGGAAGTCGGGGGCGTTACAGGGGCGCGGGGACTGGGCAATACCTATGCGCTCAGGCTGTGGGTGTCTCCCTCTGTTCCTCGTTCGTTCTCGGCCATGCCACGAGCCGGCGCGAAAGGAGTGGAAGTTTTGTGCAAGTCCCTCGGCATCAGTACCGCACCAAACGTGATGCTCCTCTCCGCTGTTGCATGACGACGGCGGCCGGGCCGAGGAATGGCGGAAATTGCCATTTGCCACTCAATGTTGGAGTTTATGTCGTTGAGGCCTGCATTTTCGTGGGTCGCACCATTCCCTGCCGCTCTCTATGGAGACATCCCAAGTCCGTATATAGCTGGCCAGCCAACAGCCAGCTTCCTTCAATACCCGCTGTCGTCATGCAAAAAAACGCGGGCCATGATCGACGCCCGAAACACCGGACGACAGCGAGCCATCACCAGATCAATGAAAGCCTCCGTAAACTTTCTTCTTTAGATTATTCCATGACTTCCCCCTCTGGCGGCAATACAGATGGGCTCCACAAACGCCCCCACGCCCGCCAATTCGTCCACTCTCGCCTCTTCTTCTCTACCGCCATCTCTACCCTAGTCGCCTCTGGCTAGCCCCCACGCTCTTTTCCGTCTCCAACCCGTATCTCGTTGGGCGTTTAGCGCTTACCGACGCCAGCCCACGACGACGACAGCGAGCGCCCATAATAACGGCTCTCGTAAAAGCTTGCGGGGTCTCGTAAACGCCACCCACAAGCACCACGTATGCAGCCCCTTGGTGCTTCTCGACGCCACTCGCGGCGTCGCCTTCCGCATGAGCCTCGCGACAGCGAGCTCGACCAGCGCGGCCTGCTCGGGCTGCCCATAGACCTCCCCATTGTCACCGATATTGTTACCCTACTACAGGGAGGCCAACCGAAGACTGTAACCACGACCCATCCGGCCACAACCACCACCACTCCAAAGAACGACCCGCCACCGCCGCAGACAACGCCCAAGGCCCCTGACAACCCGTCTGTGCCAGCGAATCCACCTGCTGGTCCCACTGGCGGGAGTGGGAGTGGGAGCGGGAGTGGAAGTGGAAATGGAAATGGCGGGAGTGGCAATAATAATGGGGGCGGTGGTAGCGACCCGAGCAACCCCTCTTCCCCCTCATCTCCCAATGCTCCCCCGTCATCTAACCCAAATTCCCCCGACGACCCCTCGAAACCCGCTAATCCCGACTCATCCAACGACAATGACCCCACACACAATACCAAGACTAATACAGGCGGGGTTCTTGCCGCGGGCACCAACCCCAACCCGACTTCGCACATCCCCAAGCCCAGTGGCCCGACCTCGTTCGTGGTCCTGGGCAGCAAGACCGTCCCCGTTATCGGGTCGATTACTTTCAGTGAAGGCCTGCCGCTCTTTACCGACCCTGCCGCCAACGGGAGCACGGGCACCAACGACAACGACAATTCTGCGAACAAGAAGGGCGGTATTTCTACTGGCGCTGTCGCTGGTATCGGTGTCCTTGCCGCGCTCGTAGTGGTGGCTATTATTGTTGTTTTAATGCGCCGCCGCGCAAAGAAGAAGAAAGCTGCAAGACGTACTTGGTGGACTGGTGGAATGGGAGACAGTCCATCAGAGAAGTGGGGCGGCGGAAGCGATAATGCCACTGTTGGCGAAAGCGCTGCGACGAGGAGCATAAGATCATCGTTTGGCACCACCTTTGACCACAGTGTGTTTCTTTTTTTACCTGTGTTTTTGGCGTTGACGCGTTACTGTATAGGCGAATTTTCCATTACCTTTGACGACAACGATGTCCCGCAAGTACCCGCCATGGTCGAAATCCGTGGTGGACCCGCTACTGTGCCCAAAGGCGACCCCAGCAGCGCCGGCAACACCCAGCTGATCTCGCCCATCTCCCCCGTTTCACCATTCGCACCGCCCGCGCCAGTCGACCTTCTCGTCTCGATTGAGAACTCGAATGTCTTTTCCGACGCCAATCGGAGGACTTCCGCGGGGAGCAACTTCAGCAATTCCAGCGCTGAGGCGCAATATCTGCTCTACGACCGCACAGAGGGGATAACGAATCCCACTGCGGACGCCCACACGCCCATGTCGGTCCGGCCCTTCTCGCCCTCGGAGTCGTTTGCCTTCCCCCAGCCACCGGCGCGTGACAGCCGGACACCCTCGCCAACCGCGCCCACGATGCGCGTGACCTCCCTGCCCACCCTTGACGAAAACCCATTCGCTGACGCCTTCGCCGCGGCCCCGCCCGCTGAATTCTCTGCGGTGGAAACTGTGTTCCGGCCGTTTGAGCAGACACTGCAGGACGAGCTGACTGTGATGGCGGGCGACCAGGTGAAAGTGCTTGCGGTGTACGACGACGGGTGGGCGATGGTCGAGCGTGTGGACCCAGTTGCGGACCCGAGCGGGAAGGGAAAGGGGAAAGGCAAGCCGCTGGTTGGCTTGATTCCGATTGACTGCATGCGCCGCGCGGACGAGACGGTGGAGGCGTTTTTGAAGACGAAGCGGGTGAGCTCGCGCGCGGTGGACGCGACGGGCTACACCGCGATGGCGATTTGAGCCTGAAGCACAGAACGATGTAGAATATCACCCTGACCGACTGCCGATCCCTTTACTTACCGTATACCCTATTAGCACTGCGGCCATGTGCCCGTTCTTTCTGCATTCTTCGCGCTTGCACGCCGTACTCTTTGTTTTCGCCTTTTCGATTCGTAGTCTTTTGTTTACAGTGTATGCATTTAAATCTCTTAGAGACTGCAGTGCGATATATGAATCAACCTGTGCTATTAGTATTACGCTCATCCTGAGCTTGCTTCGTGTTTGAACTGGTGACTTGTTGGAGTTAGAACTATCAGGTCACATCCCACCAGGTCACATCACATCCTTTTTCCTTCTCGACCATCACATCCTCCTGATTCCGGCGAATTCTATGAACAAGGATAATCCAATACCCTCCCTACTTACCGCGCAGGCGATGAACGTCTTGCCATTATCTCTCAAGGTGTGGATGCTTACAATTGATCATGATGTCTGTTTGAACTTATTTTTGTTTTCTTTTATCCCATACTTCAGCTGACTGCAAGGGACGCATACAAGCGCGATGCCCATCCTCTTACCGTTGAACGCGCACTGAAGTATCTTGACGGCGACCCGCCAATGGCCCGGGCAGTCGGTCTGCTGCCGGTCTGCTTTGTCCACCTCGAATCGACAAATCTGCCTTCCGTCGATGACTTTAAAACACTCGACCTTCCGATCGCCAAACGCATCTCGCGCGCCACGTCTGCCGTGGCCGGCGTCTTCCAAATTGATTTCGACGATGTGCCTGGCGGTGCGGAAACTGCTTGCTACTTGTTCCCGCGTGTTTTTGCGTGGTACGGGTTCATGGTCGACCATTGGGCGCATTTTCATGGCGACGCGCTGGAGCCCAAACTAGAGTTCACCCTCGAATTCATCCGATTTGTCCTGGTATGTTCGGACGAAGCCCAACTCCCGCGTCAATTACTTGATACACCTCGGTTCCTGGAGCATATCATACGGATCTGGGCAATCTATCCCGCACTCGCTGACGCGGTAGACGACGCGGACGCCTTGCTGCCCGGACTAGATTGCATCATGCTGTGTCTCCAAATCACTTCCGAGGACCGGTTCAAACAACTCGTTGCCGGTGCAGGAGGCTCCATTGCTGACGTGGCGCGCCTAATCGACAGTGCGCTGAACACTCTGGTTGACACTGGCAAGCAGCACAGCTCTCCGACGGATCCACTTCAACGCGAGCGTTCCAGCGTCAGAGTAACTCTATTTGGGTCATTCCTGCTTCTTCTCCTCGGTGCACACAACTTTGCGGCATCCCCGCGTCACTCACGTGGGTCTCCGTGGCTGGGCTATGACTGGGGAGAACTATTTGAAGAGCTTCTCGAACGGAATTTCATACCTACGCTGATGTCTGTGGCGCTCGACGCCGCCAGTCCAGGTGACGAAGCACGATTTAGCCCAGATGACGGGTGGAGTCGGTTGAACGTGATCCACTACTGTCTCTACATACTGGTCTGCTTCATTTCGAATAACCACGGCGACTGTTGTGGCTGGATAGACGATGCGCTGGAACACGGGCTTTTCGACCTCATTATCTACGCCGAGGCTCTTGTAGGCGGGCTAGACCACTCCGAGTCCGATGAATTGGACGGCGCGGCGGAAAAATTTGCTATGGTGGTCAACATCCTGCTGGGACAAGTGCTTCCTATCGAGCTACTCACGCGCTCGAACCTCCTCCCTGCTTACGACCGACTCCTCGCATTACCGTCAAGGCATCACAATTTGTCCACCGGTGAGCCGCTCAAAATCAGCACCCTACGTCCCATGTGGGCTTCTTTCATCAGCCTGGTGCGCGAAAGAATAGCGATCACTGAGGAGGAGGAGTCATATCGACACACAGTGTGTGATAACCCGGATGTGAGTGCCAACATAGAGGCATCGAGATAAGTCTTCGGCTGATTCAAGATGTAGTGCCGGAGAAATTCTTCTGCAGATATCGTGCTCCGACGTTGCTCTGGATGTCAGGCAACTTATTACTGCTCCAAGGAATGTCAGCGCGCGGACTGGAGGCGCACCGACGGTCACCGTGAGTACTGCATTTTCTACAGGAACGGCACTCTGGTCTTGGGTGCGTCATTTCAGACCGTCTTCTTGGCTCTATTAAATTCAACATTTCTCGGTTTTGCAGCGGGTTGTGCGAAGGACCGCTTTCCCTATCGCGAACGGCTGTACACCCGGGCGCTGCTAAATAACGACTACCATAAACGGTGGATCGCCATTTACACTCTGCACGTCGAACTGATGGTGAAATACCCGACTGAGTTCGGACTGGCCAGTACCGACTTGCCGGGATACCGCCCTATCAACGTGTTCTTCAACTACACACGCCACCCAGGGAGCATCAGGGTTTTCTCCACGCTGCCCCAGGATTGCGTCCCGGGGGGGATTCACAGGATTCTCTCGGATGACGGGCCGGAATGGGAGGATCTAATGGCTCGCGCGACACTATCTGGCGGACGGCTTCAACTCCATGTCTTGCAGGTCTTTGACGGAGAGGACATCCGGTATGTTGCCGTGCCGCTACGCCTGGACGAGGGCGCAGGGGCGTTTTGTGCGGCCTTGGTCGATGTCGCGCGAAGAGTGTTTGGACGGATGCAGGGTAAAGACGAGGCTGAGGTGAAAAGTATGATTGAGCAAGAAGTCGAAGTATTGCAAATGAGCTTTAAGGAAATGAAACAGATTCATTGTTAAGGACCTTATTACACCGCAAATTCAAAATTTTAAAATTACTTCCATATTTTCTAGTAGAAATATTTCATTTGAATGGAAACAGAAACAAAAAATAGTTACTTTTTGCATCCTTTCAGCTGAAAAAAAAAGTCATCTTTCTCTGCTCATGAAAAGTCATCTACAATATGGCCTTTCTGCATGTCTTTCTGTCTACTAAAAAAGGTGACCTTTTTGAGCAAATGGAAAGCTCCCCAGAAATTCTGTCTTTCAAACTTCTTTTTTGGGCGACACAAAGAACTCATTTCAATGATGCAGAGAGGTGCACAGAAAGATGTTCTCTCGTTCTGTTCTTTGTTGATTCACAAAGATATTCTTTCTGCAGGAAAGACAAAAGGAAAGTGCTGCTTTTGCTGCACCTTTTCAACGCAGCAAAAGATACACTTTTTGTGAAAGAAAAAGCAAGAGTGCCAGGACCTTGATCTCAGGCTTTTAGGGTTGCCCTTACAAATACTAAACCATATACTAAAAACTAAGGTTGAAAATGCTAAAAGTTTGTTACAGCAGGATGAAATATTATAACATATTATAATAAACTTATGAAATGATATTTCCCATTATTATTATTATCATTATTATATTATATGATGAATATATCATGCTGCAGAGGACCATATTATGATATTATGATATTATTATTACAAATTTGGCATAATAATAATATCATAATAGGCCAGTACTATTTTGAAGTGCTGAAGACCACTGTTGGGGCTGATTACCTGGTTAGCCTGGCCTGGCAGGCCAGTGTGACGGAAGCCGGCCCGGGTTCAGCCACACGGATCAAAGGGCGCAAATAGAACAGGCGTAAAGAGTGGATTCTCCCCTCACCATATTATACAAAAAATTTTGCATGTCATGCCGGATTTGCTATTTTCATATCCCAAAAGGGTATTTTGTTTTTATTTTTCCGGCGTTAGCCTTCGACGCGAGGAGGATGTCGTGAGGGAGAGGAAGACAGATGGTGATGGAATCGGGCGAGGAGTGAGTTTGGGCACAATTATATTGGGGTCCGAAGTTCTCGAGTCGGTCCGGGGACCAACTCAAGCCTAACTACGAGGGACTAGTGACATACAGGACTGAGGAGAAGAGAGACAGTAGAATGGAGTGTAAATGGAGTAGGGATGGAGGGTGGGGAATTTAAATGACACGAATTGTTCTGCGAGCGCAGTGTGAGACGAGGAGAAAGTATGATAGCTGAGACTGACTTACCTGCGAGCGCAGTGTGAGACGATGAGTCTCGACAGCGCTCGCAGGCGGCTTATATACTATGCGGAGGGGGTCCGAGCACTGTGCTTGGGACTCCAAGCGCTGGCGCGCTTGGGCGGCGTCACGCTTGCCTGCTAACCCGGGTCAATCCACCCCACCACTAATTGACCCGCCATTAGCCTTCGACGCGAGGAGGATGTCGTGAGGGAGAGGAAGACAGATGGTGATGGAATCGGGCGAGGAGTGAGTTTGGGCACAATTATATTGGGGTCCGAAGTTCTCGAGTCGGTCCGGGGACCAACTCAAGCCATGGAGGTGTAGTGCCGGAGAGCCGGAGGTTCGAAAGGGATGGTGTGTGTGTGGGCCATGTGAAGTTGTCTGGATAGCGCGATGATCCGGGAGAGTGGGTTCTCGATGTAAAGTTTGTAGGCGTCGCTACGCCATCGTCCAAGTAACTGGATTTCGTAGTCGTTGCATCCGGCGGCGGCGGCTTCTGTGGCAGCTCCTCGGCGCAAGCTGTGGCCTGCATATCCGGAGGGGTTGATGCCCGCTGCGCTGAGGGCCTCACGCAGACCGGTGACAAACGTCTTGTAGTGTAGGGGCTTTCCGTCAAGTCCTTCGAAAAGCGGGGAGTTGTTGGCTCGTGGTAGTTCGGAGAAAAGGCGCTTGAGTAGGCAATGGCACGGGTAGGCCATACCCGCGCGGGTACGCGGGTTTTACCCGTGCGGGTACGGGTACGGGTCAGTGCAGCCCTTACCCGTCGCTTCCTGACTCAGCTGGTTTCCCTCGTGGTTGGTGGTCAAGAGGTTCTCCGTTCGAGTCTGGATTTGTATTCCATTTTTACCGCACATTTCTGGCGTACTTTGGACACTAATCACAGTCTCGGCACCATGCCTTCTTGACTCCCTGCGCCACCCGTGGGTAAACCCATACCCGTACCCGCGGGTATGGGTACTGTGGCTGTGCGGGTAAGGGTACGGGTAGGCCCTCGGATACCCGTGGGTATACCCGTGCCATTCCCTACGCTTGAGCGCTGTGACAGGGCAGGTGGGTTCTCCGGGGACTGCGGCGATAGTGAGAGTGACGCCTTTTCGGAAGGGGTCAGTCTTGGAGCTGGGAAGAGTGAGCTGGATGTATTCAGCGTGCTCAAAGTTGGGTAAGAACTGGACATTGTTACGCGTGAGATTAAGGCTGGCGTCCTTGCCATTTCCCGAAGTGATTTCCCCTGAGCGGAGAAAACCGGCGTAGCCCAGGCAGAAGGCGGCGTAGAGCGTGCTGTGGCCCGGGACCGCTCCGGGTCGGAGCTGGGCAAGGATGCGGGTGAGGATGGAGCGGGTGATGGGAAGGACGGGCTTCCGGTCCTTCTCGCCGTGGAAGCGCTTGATGCCTCGGATGAGGCGTTGAACAACTGGCGATTCACATGCAGTGAAGGGAAGGTCGGCGTCGACATGGAGGGAACGAACGGCGGACAGGTAGGCCTTAATCGATTTGGGCTGGATTCGGCCGGCAAGGCTGGCAACCCACGACATAACGGCGGTTTGAGTGGCAGGAAGGATGGCGCCGTCACTGTTGTACAAGCTGTGGAGCTTGCAAAAGTTGATGAAGGATTTTTGGCCTGTGGAGTAGGTACGTCGTGTGTTACTTGCGAGGCCGTGCCAAAGGTAGAATGCGACGGTTTTTGGGAGATTGCCGTGTTGTTCGTACCACCAATCTGGTGGACTTTGGAGCTCGGCTGTCGTTCCAGGTAGGGTGCAAGGGAGAACATGCGGGAAAAGGAAAATCGAGAAGCGGCGTCAGCAATTGAATTGTCAGCGGAGGATAACCAAACAGAGGAAAATGAAAAATCGAGTCGGCATGCAAGTGCCACGAAGTTGCGGAGGAGGTTCATGGTGGGGGCGGAGCGAATGGTTAGGGAGGAGATAGCATCGTGAACAGCTTCGTTGTCGACGTGGAAGACAACGTGAGTGCCGGTGAACTCGGATCCCCAACATTGGATGGCGTGCACGACGGCTAGCATTTCCTTGACCTGGATGTGATCTTTGCGGTAACGTTGCGGGCAGCGGATGGAGAACCAGTGAGTACCGAAGTGTCCCCCGAGACCCTTGGTTCCACTAGCATCCGTGTAGACATGGAGCGTGCGTTGTTCTGGTGCGAGTAGTCGGACTCCATTCCATGCGGCAGAGAAAGTCTCCCACCAGGCAAGGTCGCGACGAGCTGGTTTGGAGATGCGCCGGCGTGAGAAAGGAGTGGTGAAGGATGATTCAAAATCGTAAAGGCTCCGGATGAAAGCCCGAGCGGTGGGGACGACTTGCGATGCAAACTGAAGGAAGCCCGTCAGCTCCTGGACCTCTCGAAGCGTGGCGTGAGTCCGGTGATGCCATTCGTCCAGGAGAGAGGTCAAGTAAGCCAGTTTGTCGGCTGGCAGACGTGCCTCCATCGCAACGGTGTCAATCTCGATTCCCAACATCTCTACTGTGGTTGCGGGCCCGAGGATCTTGGACGGCTGGAAGGAGAGGCCCAGCTGGTCGCCAAGTGCAAGCGACCACTCCAGTGCTCGTTCGGTGAGGGGTCGCGGGACACGGGGTGAGAAGACTTGGAGGAAATCATCCAGGTAGTGGCGGATCGCGGCGGGGAGATGGCGCTGGAGAATCCAGTGTAGCGCCTCGGCGAAGAGGTTGAATATGTATGGCGCAGATCGGCAGCCAAAACCGAGGACGATGTCATAGTAGAATGCATCGTCCCACATGAACCCCAGAAGGTGCCAGTCCTCGGGACGGACAGGAATGTGGCGGAAAGCGGATTCGAGGTCAAGTTTGACCATGAGCGAGCCGCGGCCGGCTTCTACGACATCGGCGATCGCGCGGTCGATCATGTCGTAGCGGATGTTGGCCTCGGCATCGGGGATGCCATCGTTCACGGAGCGTCCGTGCGGCCACGAGAGGTGGTGGATGCGGCGCACCTTCGAGGCGCGCTTGCGGGTGACGGCTCCAAGCGGGGAGCAGCGGAAGTTGTCGAAAGGGGGATCAGCGAACGGGCCGGCTGTCCGCCCGTTGGCGACTTGCGCGGCAATGTCTTCGGAAAGAGCATTCGTGACGAGAGGGGAGCTGAAGGCTGTCTTCAGGTTGGTGCACTGTTGTGCTGCTGACTTGTCACCCGTAAATCCAAGATTGGCACCATGTCGTATTATGTGTAGTAAGGAGCGTACAAACTGTTTGTCTGGATAATCACGTAGGTAAAAAAGCCCAGGCTTCCTCGTTGAGGACGGAGGAGATTGTAGGCGTGTCATGATTGCCCGGTGGTGCTGTGTTTGCGCGCGGATCAGTGTTAGGACGGGCGGGCGGTGGATGTCTAGGAGGGAAGAGATTGCCGTGTGGGAGTGGAGGCAGTGGAGAGTCTGGCGTGGGATCATCTGCGGGGTGGCTGCGACGTGCAACCGACGTGCCGTTGCACATCGTGCCAGATCCCTATTTGTGTTGTGTGAGTGGGTGCTCCTTGCCACAGCCAGGCGAAGAGCAGATGTGGGGCCGGCCCCATGCACATGGAGACGCGCATTTACCCAGGTTGTAGTTGCGGCAAGGATCCGTCGAGCTTGGCGGCTTCTTTGACGTGGCCTTGGCGCTGACCGAGATCGGCTTCCGGTGCGGGTACACGTGGGAGCTGAGAAGTCCAATTTCAGGCTCCGCCCATCCTTCGTATGACCCCTCCAGCATCTCGTTCCGCCGCCCGATTGAAGTAGAGCGTATGGTACTCAAGGACCGCCGCCCATTCATACTCTGTTGCCAGCGTGCTGATGTGCGTAAGGTAGCGGTAGAAGTACGCCGTTGCTCCCACACGCGCGGGGAGGTGTGCCGTGAGGATGGCGAAGAAAGTGTGGAGAGGGAAGAGGACGGAGTTGAGGTTTTTGTATGATTTGTGTTTGGAGACATTCATTTCGAATGTTCCTGCCGCGCTGAGACTGTAAGTCGCCTCTGAATCCTTCACTCTGCTATCCAGCTTGTACAGATCCGATGCCTTGAGCTCATGTGAAATGACCCGGGCCGTGATGCATGCCGACTCGATATCGGGGAAGAGGGATCGGAGGGACGGTGACGCACCTGTCGGCGCGTTGAGCGGCGCGAGGGGTGCGATAAACTGTGGCGCAGGCTGCTGGGCCACGGGAATTACTGGTGGTGGTGGGACCGGGGCCGGGGCCGGGGCCGGGGCCGGGGCTTGGTCTGGCGGAGCATTCCTCACGGATTGCTGGATTGCCATAAGGACCGCGGCAAGCTGCGCTTCCAGCCCAGATAGCCGCTCCTCGGTTGTGGGCACTGGTGGGCTGTTTGCGCCACCACTGGGGCCGGCATTACCGCTTCCGGAGGCTTCGCCGTCTGCCATCGTGAGAAGCTGAGTGGGACGCGGGGTAAGGGGGGTCCCAGGAGTCTCGGGTCTTTCGGAGAAGATGGGGGAAGGAGTACGGCTAGGTCGAGTGGCGAATCGTCCTCGGACGCGATAAGGCTCACGTCGGTTAGCCGTGGCAGCGGTTTACGGTTGTAAAGAATTTAAATGACACGAATTGTTCTGCGAGCGCAGTGTGAGACGAGGAGAAAGTATGATAGCTGAGACTGACTTACCTGCGAGCGCAGTGTGAGACGATGAGTCTCGACAGCGCTCGCAGGCGGCTTATATACTATGCGGAGGGGGTCCGAGCACTGTGCTTGGGACTCCAAGCGCTGGCGCGCTGCTTGGGCGGCGTCACGCTTGCCTGCTAACCCGGGTCAATCCACCCCACCACTAATTGACCCGCCACCCAAGAATTGCCTAATAAGGAAATCATATGAATGTCATGCCGGATTTGCTATTTTCATGTCCCAAAAGGGTATTTTGTTTTATTTTTCCAGCGCCCAAGAATTGCCTAATAAGGAAATCATACGAATGTCATGCCAGATTTGCTATTTCACGTCCCAAAAGGGTAATTTTTTTGCGGCGCCCAAGAATTGCCTAATAAGGAAATCATATAAATTGAAATTTTCGTATGAGATGTCATGGCATTTTTGTCATTCGAACTGAGTAAAATAGTACAGTAGTAGCCTGTCTGTGCTGAGCTACCTAGCTACCAGGTGACAGATGGATCTCTACACACACTGGGGATTCAAGCAAAAACGGGGGGGCCCAAAGTAAGACTTTTTGTTGGAAAACTGGTGCCAAATGTGGTCAGCCAATTGGATTTAAACTAAGGCCGCGGATTTCTGTGCACATGACTCAAATGGAAATTACCAAACAAGGTAGTTTCCGAGTCACAAGTATAATGTCCGTGCCTATGGCATGGAGCATATAAAAGAACTTTTGCAGCGCCCACACAGCCACTTGCCTGCGGCTTGCAGCCAGCAGGCGGTATCCAAGGGGGGTAGCATGTGAATTTCACGTGCCATCAATCAAAACATATGACTTTTCACATGACTTTCTGTTACTACAAGATCCAAGCTGTTTTCATATTATAGACTAGACAGGGCTGGGGCTGCGACCCAGCTTTGAATATTACTTGAATAAAGTGAATTTCTAATTATAAAGGAAATCCCACTGATTACAAGAATAGGTGCACAATAACCTGCTTAAATATCTGGTTTACTATGATCTACATAGATTGAAACCCAACTCAGTAAAATTTATATACTTACTTAGTGATTTGTGGGAAAATTGAGAGTACTTAGTGCATATCGAGTTGTCAGCATGGTAAATAGCCCTGCATATAATGTTTTTATGGTACTGGGTGCAATATATCATGTACAGCTTCATATCTCAATTAGGATTGGTCACATTTTACAGCATTTGATACCAATTGGGTTTTTAACAGCAGTGACTCCAAAAATGGAAATGTGGAGCAAATGAATTGCTAAGGCCTGTGCCAAACATGTGTATACATTCACATGGCATCTGCTTAATATAAGAGTAATAATATGCATGGAAATCAGGGCCTGTGATTTGTGTGAGAACTGCCCCAGTTATTTAGACCTGTATCTGCCACCACAAAGTCCAGCTTTGGGCTGCCTTTTCCCCCCCAAAACCCCAATGTGACAACTATGAGGTTACTACTAAGATATTTTGGGGAATTATAGTTCCATTTTATTTTACTTACAGAAGAGAAGGTCTGGGGAAAATCCAGAATTATCAAGCCACCAGTGCCGGTTGACCCAGGGCAGAAACAAAAACGGATCCTGCGTCATATGTAGGTCCTTTTAGATCGGCCACGGCCCGGCTCGCCAAAATTACTGTGTCAATCATCACACGACGGGCTTCTTCGAAGCGAGATTAACTTCTTGCTATCATTTTAGCTTCCGTGCAGTGCAAGCTCCAAAAGTGTGTGTTGCTCCACATCGGTGAGCTATATATATATATTCATGCGCGTCCGACTTGCTAAGCCCCACACGGGCTGGTCGAACGCGACACTGGCACCGACGCTGCTCTTAGCGCGTGCACCGGCCCGGGGTGCCAATCTCCGCCGACGCAGACATCCTGGCGGAGAAGCTGATCGTGGGAGCGGGTGACGCCTTTTAATCCAGGGATCGCGCAAAAGCGTGGATGTCAGGGGGGGCGATGACCCCCGCCATGAGCACGGCCGCTGGCACGCCAGTATCGCGCCATTCCAACTACGACGACCGCACGCCGCTGCTATCCGCCAGCTACCCCTCGTTGCACTCCTTCACGGACCGTGACGCCGACACGAGCGGGCTTGGCGACCGCGTGATCCACCTCACGCACCGCCCGTCCTTCCGCTCTTTCGTCCTCGACGACGACCCCGACGTGGATGACGACCACGACACCGTCCGCAGCGCGCGGCTCACGCCCAAAAACCGCCTCGGAGTGCCCCTGCTTATATTGGAAAACCGCGGCAGCGTCGCGCGCGACCACCTCGCTTCGGAGCGGACCTTCCTCGCGTACGTCCGCACCAGCCTCGCCATCGCGGCCGCCGGCGTCGGTGAGCGCTTATCCGGGCACGTGCAGCTATTCGCTGATGGCAGTATACAGCGCTCGTGCAGCTCTTCCTCGTCTCGAGCTCGGACACCGAGCTAGGCTTGTTACGGACCGATAACGGCCGGTTAAAAACGTACGGCCGCCCGCTCGCTATCGCCTCTATCGTCCTGGCGCTCTACCTGCTCGCCGTCGGTGCGCCCTGCTGTTGTGCCCAACCCAACGGCCATACATTGACATTGTCGCAGGCGTCTCGCGCTACTTCTCCATCCAAGCCGCGCTCGTCGATGGAAATTTCCCGGTGTCGCGCTTCCGCGTCGGCTTCCTGACAGCCGCGCTCGCGTCCCTTATCGTGGCGATGTTCGCGGTGTTGCTCGTGCACGCGAAGTTTTGAGTCTCCTCGAAAACCCGGCTGTCGGTAGAGAGTCTCGTACTCAGAGGGAGGAGACCTCAGGTTCATATCGGCGACCTAACCGCGACGGTCCCGAAGCCAGATCGTGGGTGGAATCATATTGCACACATATGAGAGGAGGAAGAGAAAGAGTACTTCATTGTAGCAATCCTGGTTTCCAGCATTTTAAGGCAGTGATAAGACAATGCTTTCAATGACTATACTGTGATGATTTTGCCCTATATAGGGATAGGGTACGGATAGATCCATGGCACATCGGGGTTTCGCGCCAAAACGGCCACCCAAAGCTGGACTTATATAGCAGAGATCGGGGCCGAAATCAGTGCCCTAAATTTCTGATAAATCAAAGGCCTTGATTGTGCAGCAAGTGATGTCAAAATTACCTTATTTGGCAATTCGAGCATCGAATCTGCGACGCTGATTTGTCGAAAATTGGGTTCCCATTTTTGGCACCTGATTTCTCACAAAAAAGTCCAGCTCCGGGTCGCCGTTTTTGCTCAAAACCCCGATGTGTGGATACTGGCCCCCCTTACTCATATCCAGATCTGCACAGCCACCTAGCTGTTATCTGTTATCTGTTATCCAGGGGGATGTATATGGATTATCTACCAGTATCCAGCCAACTTCCGCTAACTAAGGGAAGAAAGTTGGCATCCAAGTAGGTGAACCAAAGTAAGTAGTTAACTTCATCATGTTCCTATTAATAAGCTGCTAATGTTGCATATGTACAACATGTACAGATATTCACAGATTGGTGATAGTTTGGTAGGTTGACAGAAGGCTACTAATATATATCCTTATCCATCTGGATTGGCCCATTCCAATCAGCACTGGGCAGTTTCCACAATTTGTCCCTGTGAAAAGTTGGATAGACAATTTAAAACTTTTTGTAAGGGCAACCCCGGAGGCCTGAGATCAAGGTCCTAGCAGGGGAGGATCGAAAGAGAAGAAACTCTGAGGGTCCGCCTGCTATGTAGCTGACTATATACTGCTTGTCCGTAGCTGCCGCTGTCGGGCACAGAAGGCTTTGGGCGGCGTCGCAGGCAAGGTCCCAGGGCGACCGTCGGGAGGATGTTGACGGATCGGTGATTGTGCGGGCGAGATGGAGGGCCGGACGGGAGTCGGAACCGGAATCGGACCGGAATCGGGCGCGTCTCCGGGGCGAAAGGGAGGTTCCCCTGACACTTTTGAATAATTTCTTTCTGAATGAAAATTTGAACTTTATTTAGCAACCTTTGCCTAAAGAATATTAGAAGAGAAAATTTGAGGTTTTCAGATGTGTGACTAGATATAGAAAAAAAAACTGAAACGATAATTTTGAGTTTTTGCTAGTAGTTTTTACCCAGGAAAAATCACAAAAAAATTCAAAGTGTGTTTCAAAATTCTTGCTTGTCAACCATTTCAAATTTTTGCCCAGCAGGTACAAATAGTGATTGTCACGGGCTGTGCGACCCATGACAGGCCACGGGTGCAGGCCTGGTGCCCTGAACCCACTGGCCTGCAGTATGGCCTGCTGGTCCACTCAGCATACCGTCTCTGGCAGGGCAGCTGTGTCCGTCTAGCAGGCAATCAACTCTGCTAACATCTCGTCACCGAGTTGTTGGATCACTTTGTCGAGGATGTCCATTGAGCGGACATCAGCAGGGAGTGTGACGCTGTCGTTCGAGGGGCTTACGCGGGGTGGAAGCGAAGGATTTGGAGTATCGATAAGGGGGTCGGACAGCCATTGGAATCCAATGGCTGCCCGACGGTTGACCCGTAGCCTACGGCGGGGGGGGAGCAGGAAAGCGTACTCAGGCAGTCGGGACGGGTCCACGAGAAGTAGGAAAGACGAGACACAAGAGAAAAGAGGACTTGGTTAAGATTGCTGCTGCGTGACTTGGTCACGACTGATGTTACAAGACTTGTGACTAATTGTGACTACTGAGATCATGTGAGTGATTCTATCTGATAATGCCTGATAACGCTTGCGACGGTTCTGAGTCGTCTTGCTGGTAGTATACCCGTCACAGAGCCCCCCACGACGAAGAGTCGTTCATGCGTTCTCGTCTCGAATTCGGCCAAGCACCGCGGCCGCCCAAGGCGCTGAAGCCGCAATGCCTTCCAACGTAAGCTGTGACTCGGATTCGTCCACCTCCATCGCCACGCTCTCGTCTGGTGATTCCTCCGTAGACGGTGCTTCTCGCGCGAGAGTCCCAAAAGATGAGTTGAACCAGGGATGGGCTCCCAACTGAGTCACCACCCCGTTGACGATTATCTGATTCGCCACGACCGGGACAAACGACATGGGTGCATCGGGCGAAGGTGCAGGTGGCGGGAGCCTAGCTTCTGGTTCGAACGGAGGTGCAGCCGTCGGGTCTTGGCCTGCTTCCTTCAAGCTGTTAAGGAAGGCCGTCGCTTCATCTGTGTTAGGCTCAGACGACGGCGGAGGCAGGGGAGGAGCGAAGTCTGACGGGATCCGCGAAACTTCCACATCCTCATGCCCTGCCGTCGTTAATGTATGCGAGCCCAGCATGAAGGAAGTTTGGCCCGCAGGTGCCAATGAGATGTCCTCCTCTCCCGCAGATGCCCCGTTAACCGGCGCCGCTGGAGGCACTATGTTGAGGGCGATCTCGTAGGGGCCCCAGCGCAAAAGGACCCAAGTTGGCTCCGCGACCCAGTCGTATTTCCCTTTCCACCCGTCTGCGCTCGTCCCTTCGCAGCTTGCTTGGGTTATGTTTGGACCTTTTCCGAATTCTCTCCTCCAAGCGTACTCCCAGCCTAGCGGCCAGCGTGATAGCGGCGTCAGGAACTCCTTCGACGTCCATGGCCGAGTTGGTAGCGTCTTCCGTGGGCGGAAGGGGGTTGCTACTCGGCGGAGGCGGCGGCAACGCGACTTCCGTCGGGGACCTCGTCTGCAGGGTGGTCGGAGGTACTTGCTGTGGACCCGTGTCGGGATTGGAGACTACCGAGGATACCGAGGCGGCCGAGAGAGACAAGTGCGACGGCAGGATTGGAGGATTCGGCGAACGGGGACTCGCGGCAGATTCGACTTGTACGAGGGCTGCTTTCTTATCCGCTTCGCGGCGAAGCCTTCGTTCCCTCGCTTGGCGAGATTCCAGCCGGTTGAAAGTGTCGGTAACGGAGCTTGCCAAACTATCGAAGCCTTCTCGGTTCAAGTAGTTGATGGAGACCCATTGCATTTCCCGCTCCAGGAATCCTAGAGCTTTCCTTGCATCCGTTATTGACCCCATTTCCAGTATGACGCTATTCCCGGCGAGCAGTACCAGCACGATATCGGACACATTCCTGACTCGCTGAATCTCGGCCATATTATAGAACTCCTCCGCCCGACAAAGCGTCACTTCCTCGGACTTCAAGTCGGAATGTCGCCGGTTCGGGGTCAGGGATGTCTGCATCCACTAGGTCGCCGTAATCCGAAGTATCTTCCCATCCCGTAGTATCGCCCGTCACTGCCCGCATCCCCCCACCTTTATTCTTCGGGGGGCCACCGTCCATGTCATCATCCTCATCGTCGCCTTCATCAGGCCCATCCTTTCGTGAGTTCGGATCGGGCCGGGGCGTCTCCTTCCTTGGGAGATACTCAGGACGAGGAGTGGGAGCCGTAAGAGGAGCACCGGCTTGTATCTTCGTAAATGTCGCTGTGGGGAACATCCAGTAGGAGGGGCGGTCTGGCATCCAGTTACCGTGTTTGTCCCTGACCACGTAATCGCAGCGAGGAGCGGGCATCCCGTAGATGTCGGGACGAACTACCCCGATAGGAGTTTTGTAGCCCAAGATGATGAGAGTTCGCCGGAGCTCTCGGTCGAAGAAGGTGCTGGACGGTCCTCCATCAGTTCGAGAGCTGCGACCCACGAGTTCCATCCTTTTACGGTCCCCTTCACCCATCCCCATAATGAATTTCTGTAGGCTGCCGAAGCCTTTGCGCAGGTTGACGAGTTCGGGAGGTCGAATCCAGGGTACTCGGTCCGGGTACAGGTTAACATAGTCGAGGTCACGAGGCTTGTAGTCGTCTCTCAGCGGATTACCCGTGATGGCCGGTCTCCGGCCATTACTAGGCGTGTGCGCGTTGATCAGCTTGTATCGATCTATCACGTCGCGATCCTTGCGATTTTGAGGAGAGGGAGAGCGCCTGGGCGGTTGCGGCTCTTGAGGGTGATTCCAGTCTTCGATGGTTGACACTGGATCGTTCCAGGCCTCTGCGGAGTCCGGCCACGACGAGCCCCAGCCTCCGGTATCCGTTGGCTTGGGGGTCGGGTTGCTCGGGACATGAGAGGATGTCCATTCCATTCGGGGATTCGCCGGCCAGTCGCTTTTAGGCCTCCGTTGACTCCAAAAAGGCTGCTGTCCCTTCTCCATAAAGAGAGGGTCAGCTCTTTCCTCACTAACCGCGTCAGGGGTCGGAGCTTTCCCGGACTTGGGCCGAGAAGAATTGTGGAGCGATGCTAGGCTAACGCCATCTCGAGGAATCTCAGAGTAAGGATTATTCTTCAGCATGGACAGAGTTTCTGTGCCCTCCAGGAATCCAGACGGACCGGTCGTGTTTCGCAGCCGAGCAGCTCTGTCCTCCGGAATCCGGCAGACAATGAAGCAAGGAATACCAGCACGAATCAAGCAATCGAGTGGCTCTCGAGGATACCCGTTAGCCCAGAAACCCATGAATTCGTCGCGAGGTTCAGCGATTTCTCTATCCGGTCCGCGAGCTAAATCCTCCATAAAAGTATCCATCATATCCGCCCACGCTAGTAATTCTCTGAGGGCGAAGGACATTTCAGAGTACTTGTCGAATGCAGTATCCCAAGTTTGAGGAGTATTCAGAGCTCTTTTCAGCGACCAGAAAGGAGTAACGTCAGGGGGGAGCGATTTGTAAGTCGGCCGGCCAGTTCTTGGCGAAAGGAAGTCGAGCTGAGCAGGAGTTGATGCGAGCGACCACGTAATTGTAGCAGTCGATGAGCCCGTCTATGCCTTTATCTGTCAAAGTA